ACGGAACCCTGAGGCGCTGGAGGCCCGGCCGCAGTTGTTTTCTGGGGCGGCGCACTCTCAACTAGCGCAACATCGCCCCCCAGGGGCGACCGCGGGTTCCTCGGGCTAAAGCTACGGGGCGCGAGCTCGGCGGCGGGGGCGGGACTCGGTCAGATCTGAGAATCGCGGTCCGCCCTCAGAGGAGGACAGCGGCAGCGTCTCAGTGGCGCTCAATTTAATCAGAATGGCAATGCATGGGGCTGTGACCCTAGCACTCGGAGGCTGGTGGCTCGCTGTGAGGTCAAGGCCGGCCTAGGCTGTGCGGCCAGACCTGGTCTCTTGTTCCCAGACTTTCTCAGTGCCCCAGAGGCCTGAGCAGCTCCCCCACACAGCCTGGCTGCCTCCCTACGACATCCATCCGTTTCTGCCACTGGGGATTCAAGCGGGCCCTTTTTATTATCTACCCGGAGATGGGGTCTCCCTCCGTGAGTCAGTGGCACAGGCTAGGCTAACTTAGAGCTCTTCCTGCCTCAGCTTCACAGAAAATGCTTCCTTCTTTTTTTTTTTTTTTTTCTTCTTTTTCTTTTTTATCGGGTACCGGGGATCGAACTCACGACTGCCTGCTTGCAAGGCAGGCGCTTATGCCGCTGAGCTAAATCCCCAGCCCCAATGCTTCCTTTTCTTTTGGTCCCGGAAGCCTAAGTGCCTGCATTCCTGCGGGGCACAGGAGCTCCTAGCTCCTGTCCCCAAGGCACAGAGTGTGGCTCAAAACGTTGTGGTGGTTCCCGGCCTCCGTTTTCTTCCCGGGTGAGTGGTCCTCTCTCACTCTGTCTCTCTCCATATATTTGGAGACAGGATCCAACTCCTGTGCTCAAACAACCCTCCTGCCTCAGCCTCCCTGAGTAGCTGGGGTTAAAGGGCCAGGTTTGTGCAGCACAGTTTAAGAGTTAAACATGCTAGGCGTTGAGCTTAGCAAATCAAATCCCAGTGCCTACAGGAATTTAAAGCGATCCCTGCTAAAGATGGTCCCCACCGCAGGAGCAGGGAATTCCTCGAGACCTCCAAACAAGACCATCTCTGTGGACTGCGGGCCCAGAAGACACAGAGGTCCCTTGAGCACTGTCACTCACCGCACACTGGGTGGGATGGGAGGGGCCAGAGGATTAGTGCTGTGCCACCCAGCCATTTGCCTGAAGGCCCTGGGGGGCCATGTGGGTGCCAGAGCTGGTGCTGCCCGAGTTGGGGGCAGTGAGGCCCGGGGAGAGGGTGCTTAGGTAAGGGACAGAGAGATGGAGGGAGGGGACGCCAGTCCCAGATGTCACCACCCAGTCCAGCCTGTGCCTGTGGGGAGCCTCAACCTGGCCTGGCCTGAGCCCTTGCTCTGCCCAATCTGAGGGCCTCCAATCTGAGGACATGCTATGCGGCCATGGCAGCACAACATAGCCGGCACTATGAAGGGCAATGTGCTTGACAAACAGATGGGCAATGGACAGATGAATGGGATGGACAGTGGGTGCAAATGAGGCTGAGGATGAGAAAGGTGGAGCCATGGGGCTGGGGATTTAGCTCAGCAGCATAAGCACCTGCCTTGCAAGCAGGTAGTTGTGAGTTCGATCCCAGTACTGATAAAAAGGAAAAAGACAAAACAAAAAAAAGAGAGAGAGAGAGAGAGGAGCTGAAGGGACAAACAGTGAGGGAAGGAGATGGGCAGACACAAAGTGGGTGGCCGGCAGATGGACAGACAGACTTAGAGGGCGGCAGAATCGGAGCCTCTGAACTCACAAGGCGGGAGCAGCAGGGGTGGTGTCCAGTGGTGTAGGGGATATCGGGTGCCGGCTCCGCTCCGCCCTCTGCCCAGGCCGCTCCAAGCTCAGGATGCACATGCACACAGGTGTGCACTCACATGTGTGCACATGCACCCAGAACACGCACATGAGCCAGGCGGGGGCCACCTCGGCCCTCCCTGCCACCCTCCCCCAGCTGCCTACTTTCCTCCTGGAAAACCAAGGCCCCAAAAAGACCCAGGCTTCCACCCCCTGCCAGGGACTCCCACGCCCGTCCCACTCAGCGCTGCAGACTTGGGCAGGGAGAGATCCAGCCTCCTCCAACAGCCACATGTGCAGCCACAGTGCCCTCTCTGCCACACACAGTGGACAGAAATCTCCTGCCTGCTGCTCCTCCATGGGGTAACATCTCTTTTTTCTTTTTCTTTTAGGATTTTTTTAGTGCTAGGAATTGAACTCACAACCTTGTGCTTGCCAGGAAGGCGCTGGGCCACTCAGCTACGTACCTAGCCCCCTTTTTCTTGAGCCAGCATCTCGCTGTGTAGTGCAGGCTGACCCTGATCTCAAGACCTGGTCCAGGCCGGCCTCAGACTCTTGATGATCCTCCTACCTCAGCCTTCTGAGTGATGGGGCTGCCGAGCCTGAGGTTCAATTTTAATTACATGATCTAGAACTGAAACCAAAGCCTTGCAGACTTAGCATACCCTGCACACGAGCACGACTGTGCTGCCTGTTCTGTCCATATCCGTGTCCGTTTCCCTTCGAAAATCCTGCTGGCCGTGCACGTTGGCACCAGCACTTGCGTAGGCTGTGACTGGTGCTAGGCTCCACGATGACTGGACAGTTGCACACATCTGCCTCCTCAGGCCCATGGGAACCAGGTGGTCCAGGAAAGAGTCACAGCGACAGCCACCAGCCTGGACCCCTGAGCCCCAATGGACAGAGTGACCCTGGCCCAGCACCACCAGGCCCAGTCAATCACACGGTTCTCGTGGAGGTGGAACAGAGTCGCGATGTAATGTATCACATTCTCTGCAGTCTAAACTCAGTGTCTCACTCTGCACTGTGACCCCTGGAGGTAACCGGGGAACATCAGCTGCCAGAGACACAGTGGATTCTGGGCCACCTCTGTGACTTCATGGTGGTTTCTTTACCCCTGATCCAGGGCTGGAAAGAAGCTGAGAAGATGGTCCTTAGAAAAGTGGCCTAATTAACTAACAAGAAGGGTTTCCCATTAAGGACACTTCTCCATCATCACCAGAAGACACAAACTGCTTCTCACAGGCGAACAGGGAAGCTGGCCCCTCATGCCACAGCAGAACACTGCTGCTTTTATTTCTATTTACTTATTTTTGCTTGGTACTCCTGTTTTGAAACAAGGTCTCGCTATGCAGCCCAGGCTGACCTTGAACTTGCAGCAACCATCCTGCCTCAGCCTCCTGAGTGTTGGGATTACAGGGGTATGCACCATGCCTGGCTGGAAAAGAGCAACAGAATCACCCTGGTTAGGTGAAGTTTTAAAGGCAATAGTGTCTGTTTATGCAAAACACAGGGTTTGGGGTGGAGACCCTCTTCTATAAGCCTTGACACCTATGTAACTGCCTGTGTACCTGGTTTTCCTTACACAAGGCCCAAGCATCACCCCTGAGCAGTGCCTAGGACTTCGACAGTCACAGAGCTATCACTGAGAGTAGGCTGATTGGACTTCAAGGAACAAGATGCCAAGAGAAGTCTCAGAAATAAAAATGCAATCTAGCCAGGTGTGGTGGCACACACATGTATTTCTAGCACTTGGGAGGCTGAGGCAGGAGGATTTCTGCTAGTTCGAGGTTATTTTGGGCTACAGAGTGAGTTAAGACTGTGTTCCAGAGGTGCTTCCCTTTGGACACAATTGTGGAATTCCTGTCAACTCAGGCACCTCTAAGCCAGGCAGGGCTATGCTCACCTTACGACAGAAATCAGAAAGTCACATCTGGCCCAGTGAAACCTGGCAGCGCCAACCCAGTGCCCATGTAGCTTGCAGTGGAATCAGGCAGGGGTACAATCGCCGGAGGTGGCCCTGGCTGGAGATGGTTCCCGGGCTGAACAGCTCTTAGACAGAACCAGGGAGCAAGGGACACAGACTGAAACCCGAAACCAAACAAACCTCTGCTGGAGGTTGCAGGTGTGTCGGGGTTTCTGTCCCCAAGATGGGACGATGGCGAAGACACCAGGACCCTGGGCGGCGTCAAGGTCCAGTGGGACGGAGATGCCTGGGTTTCAAGAGCAGCACTGCGGCAAGGGGCGCTCTCCACCCCCTCGACTAGCTGGACCTGCAGCCCAGCTCCTGCGCCCCGTCTTTCAGAAAGGGGGGGGGGGCACTGCGAGGCTGTGTGAGCGTGGCTGGACTTGAACCTTTGAGCAGTGTCTGCTCCGTGCAGCTCTGTCTTGAGCAAGTGATCTTTTTAACATTTGTATTTGTCTTTACGTGGTGTCCGCTTCCGTTTTGCGAAAGAGCTGCTGATGTTTCTGTTTCCTGGCTTTTATTTTGCTCTTTATTCTATTTCGAGCTCCTCATCCAACAGGAACAACGTAATACTTAAGCTCAGGTGTCCGATTGAGTTCACTTAACATCATGGCCTTAAGGTGTATACATTTTCCTGCCATGACTCAAGTTTATCCTGTTGAGACAGGGTCTTGCGATGCAGTTCAGGCCGGCTGGAACTCACTGTGTAGCCCAGGCTGGGCTGGAACTTGCGGCAAGCCTCCTGCCTCAGCCTCCTGAGTGCTGGGATCACAGGCGTGCGCCAACTGGCCTGGAAAATGTACCCCTGTTTATGGTGAGGCAGGACTTCACTGTGCGTAAGCACATTTGCTCCATCCTTCCTCAGTGGCTGGGCACCCAGGCCAACTCCAGGACTGGGCCGGTGCAGCGCACTGCTGTGAACAGTGTGCGTGGGTCACCGGGGCATGACTCCTGCGCTCCTACGGGAGGAAGCCCGAGGGCACCAGCTGGTTTCAGACTCAGTGCGAATTCGCCCCGTGGGGCGCAGCGTGGGTCCCCGTCCCCCGCTGCGAGCAGCCAGGGTGCAGAGTCCCGCAGTCACCGGGCTGGGCTCTGCCCACGCAGCCGCGCAGCGCTGGGCCGGAAACCGAGGAGACAGGCGCGATCCCGAGCAGGACACGAGGGCGGACCGGGTGGATCGATGCGACAGGCGCCCGCCCCGCCCCGCCCCGCGCGCGCCTTTGTCCCGGTCACGGGACCCGGAAGCCGCCGTCACGTGCGCGCGGGATAAACACGGGAAGATGGCGCCGGCCACGCTGCGCGGCGCTGCTGCGTCACAGCGATCCTCCGCGGACCGCGGAGAGAACAAAGGCGGGGCGGCCGCCGGCGCAGGTGGGCGCGGGGCGCGGGGCGCGTGGGGGCCCGGTGCCAGAGGCGTCGCCGTCCCGTGGGCGCCGCGCGTGCTGGGGACGCGGCCTCGCGCGACGCGGTCCCTGTGGCGAGATCGGGCCGGGCCAGGGTCGGGGTCGGGGTCGGGTCGCTGTCCGGGTCCTCCCTGCGCCCCTACTCCCCGCGCCCCGCCCGTCGCTGCGCACGGAGCCGCGCTGTTTACGCCGCGCGCGGGCGGGGCCGGCGCGGTCCGGGTCGCGGCTGCTGGGGGCGGGGCGCTCCCGGCTGCCCCCCCATCCGGGCTCGGCGCGCGCACCTCCAGCGGGCCTCAGTTTCCCCCCGCATCTGCCCGCGCTTGTCACCGGCGCGGGTGCCTCTGGCGGGAGGGCGCTCTTGCCTCGGGTGCCCCGTGGGGATCCGGTCCGGTTGGTCTGAGGGGACCCCAGGCTTCCTCGACCCGGAGGGGCCGCGCCCGCCCAGCGCAGGACCCAGGACCCTGCACTCCGGGGTGGGCGATCACAGTGGGCAGCCGGGGCGTTCCCTGCCCTGCGCCCGAGCTAAACTCTTTTGGGCAGCTAGATGACGCTTCTGCTCCTGGTGAGGACCCGCTCCTCCCTCTCTCCCAGAGCGGAGCCGCGCAAGAACTGGGCCTGGACAGCTGCTTCGCTGAGTGGCGCCACCCGAGCCCAGGGCGTCTCCCAATCGGGGCACACCCAGGAGGGAAGGAGCGGAGGCCTGGTCCACAGTGCCCACTCCGACCCCAAGGACCGCTCTTCCTCCTCAGCAGCTGGATGGTGGGGGGAGAATTTGGGGTGAAGGCGCTGTCCCCCCTTCCCAGGAGTGACGCCCCCTCACCCAGAGCTGGGCCTGCGAAGTGTACAGACACTTTTGCACGCCCCTCCGAACTTGGCTTTCCTGGCCACTAAGTAGCCAGGACCCCAAAGGGTCGAGGGAATGAGAAATGTCCCCAAGTGGTTCCCCAGTGACCGCCACCTCCTAGCTCAGGGCGTAGGAAGAGAGGAGCTCGGCAGGCACTACGCAGGACCTGCCAAACTTAGACCCGGCCCGAGGGGGACGGAGGTGGAGCCTGAGCCCGGTTGCTTTGAGGATAGGTCCTCCCCTGTAGGCGGTTGGGGACCAGGCCATGCACGGGTCTGACGCACGGAGTGGTTGTGCCTTTGGAGTGTCCGCGGTAGTGAGTGCTGATGGGATTCCCCACCCGGGTGGCAGGGGCACAGCAGGGAGGGAACCTGACCCCAGGACTCTGGCCGGCTGTGCAACGAGGTGGAGAGGCTGGTGAACCATGGCTGTCACAGGGTCCGGTACCCCGTTCACCTGAGAGACCCCTGTCACCCCTGCCCAGGGTCCTGTCCTGCCCCAGGGTTGAGAGGAGGTGACCATTTCCTGAGCAGCCTTCCCGCCAGCCCTGGGTGGCTGCAGCACAGCGGGCCGGGCGTGGAATTGGAGCCGGTGTGCCGTGGGACGGGTGCAGGGCGGGACCCTGGCACTGGCTGAGCTCTCAGCTGCTGTCGCAGCCTTGCTGGCCCCGGTTCAGGGTTAGGAGAATCCAGGGACAGAAGCTGGATTGGGTCCCCAAGTGCTGCAAGGGTGGCCACTGGGCTGAAAGGCTGAGTTGTAAACTTTTAAAAATTTTTTTAGATTCTATTTTGTGAGGTAGGGGCTGGTTCTGTGGTGCAGGCTGATCTCGAACTCACTGTGTAGCCCAGGCTGGCCTTGCACTCACACAATCCTCCTGCCTCAGCCTCCAGAGAGGAGCTGGGGTCACAGGCATGCACCCCCACACTCCATTAGAATTCATTCTTGTGTGAGTCTTTGGAATACTTAACTGTTTGGAACCATCCTTGGGCATATGTGTGTCTACTTTTGAACCATAAATATTTTGAAGTCTAAATGCAGACTGTTTCTGTTGAAAATTTAGCATTGGAATTGGGGTATAAGTGTAAAATACGCTCCAGATTTCAAATACTTAACTACCAAGAAAAAGAAGAAGTGACACAGTGCGTTAATGATTTTTATGTTGGGTTTATGCTCAGATAATGCTATTTTGGCTGTACTGAGTTAAATAAAAACACACTAATTTCATCTGTTTATTTTAATTTTTTTTTGACAAGGTCTCACTATGCAATTCAGGCTGGCCTTGAGCTCACTGTGTAGCCCAGGCTGGTCTCTAATTTGCAATGGGCCTCCTGCCTCAACCTCTTGAGTGCTGGGATTACAGGCGTGAGCCACCACGCCTGGTTTTAATTTTTGTTTAAACAGGGTTACCAGAGAGCGTAAAATTACATATATGGCTTATGTTATAGTTGTTTTCTTTAAATTTGTTTTTATTTGCCACCTAGTGATGTGTTTTGTGGGAGGCAATGTGACATTGTTCTAGTTTTTTTGAGATGGGGTCTCACTAAGTAGCTGAGGCTGGCCTGGAACTCACAGAGATCCTCCTGCCTCAGCCTCTGAGTGTGGGGATGACAGTGTGATGGTCCAGTTCATATGAACAGCCCCTCCCCTTGGACTTCTCTTGCCCAGCCCTGGCCTGCAGCATTGCCCATGGTATCTGTGAATTCATTTAGCTCGAAGTTGTACACAGCACCATGGCGCCCTTCTCACTGCAGGGTCCTCCCCCTGGGGAGGTCAGGTTTCCTGAGGGGCTGTTGGGGTGTTGAGGCAGAACGTGGGGAGCAGGCGCCTGGCCTGACCTGCAGGTTGTGTTGGCACCTTGGTGACACAGCTCAGGGAAGCCCCTCCCTCCCTGCCTTCTGCCCCTGGTTTCTGCAGGCTCGTAGGTGTGGCCCTGGCAGGGGCAGAGATGAGGCTGCCCCGGCTGTGTGGTGACCTGGGGACCCACAGGCCTTTGGAGCTGATCCCTTGGTTAAGGTGCACAGCGCTGCCCAGTGCCCCAGGCCATGTGATGACCAGGTGCCACTCGGGCCTCAAGGAACTTGGGCCCCTGGAATGGAAGGAGCCAGAGTTCCTTGAGGCCCGAAGAGGCCACACTTCCTGGAAGTGACCGAGCAGGGCCCAGGCCTCAAGGACATGCCTGCACGTGCAGGAAGAGGCAAGCCCTTCCTTTGGGGGAGACAGGAAGGGTATTGGGGTACAGGTGGAAATCAGTGGGTTCCCAGCTGTGCAGACAGGCTGTGAGTGCCTGGGGGGGGATGCACCTGTGCTTCCGGGCCAGTCTGACATCTGTGCTGTCTTTGCTACAATCCCTTGGAGCCCAGCCCTCAGAGGCATTTGGAAGCCCAGGTCTCAGCCATGTGTGTCTTTGCCAAGACAAAGTCTCGCCATGTGGCCCAGGCCGGCCTTGAACTGAGAGAGATCCTCCTGCCTCAGCTTCCCTAGTGCTGGGATGAAGGGTGTGCACCACCACAGACAGGAGTGCTGGGCCGGAAAGTGGGTGCGGGGCAGGCACCCCTGAGGGAGGAATGTGTGTGAGTGTGGGAGTGTGTGTGCTTGTGTGAAGGTCACACATCCTGGGCACCATGGGATGAGATGCCCTGTCCCTGATGCTGGGCATCCTGGGCTGGTCCTCAGCTTTTCCTTGTGTAACCAATTTCTTTTCCCCTAAGGAAAAGGGAAAAAAAGCCCCTCTCACTCTAGGTTTCCTGTCAGCCTTCAGCACAGTTAGTTTTTATTTCTCAACCCTAGTTTCTGCCAGGTCCGAGCTGGTCCCCTGCAACTCCCGAGCCCCGCAGAGTTGGTGGCAGGGTACAGACACCCACACTGCGCGCTGCACAAAGTGGAAATCGCCTCTCCAGCACCTTCAGCCGCTGGCCCCTTCTCCCTCCCGCCTGGCCTGCTGGACAGAGTCCTCTCAGAGCCGGGCTAAGTGGTTCAGACTAGGGAATGTCGTTTGAAATGCCAGCGGGCTTAAACTAAAAGACACTGTGTCTTTCCAGTGCTTTCAGATACGTGGCCTTCAGTGGTGTGTGTCATGGCACCTCGAGATGGACGGGTCACCTCTGAGTCTGCAGGTCAGGGCCACGCGCCCAGGGGCACCTCCACACCTGCCAGGAGGAGTGGTTTCCCATGGCGACACAGCCTTAGGTGGGTGTAATTCTTCGTCGTCCTCTTCCATGTGGGGTCCTTCCTTGCTGGGGTGAGTTCCTGAGGTCCCCTTTTTCCTAATTCATTTAACAGGCTTTTTTCTCTTTTATTTATTTATTTATTTATTTATTTAGAGACAGGGTCTCACTATGTAGCCCATCCTGGTCTTGAAATCACTGTGATCCTTCTGCCTCAAGCCTCCCGAGTGCTGGGTTGTGGAATTATACAGCAGTATAATTCTTAAAAGAAAAATACATAGATTGAAGAAGAGATGTTTTAGGTAGATTTTGCTTTATAAAAAAATTATAATAATTCCCAGAAGAAACAAAACTGCATTTTTAAGCACGTGTTTGTAAACTGCCATTTAACTTTTCCTCCCTGGAGAGTGCTTGCAGGTCAGCCCGAGAGAAAGTTCCTTTAAAAGCTCGCCGGTGAGGCTGTGCTTTTCACTGTGCACCCTGAGCAGCCCAGACCGTCTGTCGTGGGGAGCCTTGGTGAGTGGTGGCCTTGCCCAGAGTCCTGTGCCGACCCTGACCCCTCAGCCTGGGCTCAGCCAAGGGGGTGTGGGGCGCAGGGCACGGGGCAGGGCAGGGTGGGGGGGAGCACCGCCCCCTCTGGTCCTGGGCACAGCAGGGTGGGGACAGCCGAGGCTCAGCTCCAGCTGGGGCCGGGATGCTGTCGCCCTCTCGCGTCTCTGCACTGTACTACACTGGCCAGGGCTGTACCTGGCAGGGAGGGACCGCTGGGCTGCCTGGCCCAAGGGTGTGGTTGAGGGGGACCCCAACCCTGATCATCCAGATTTCTCCCTGGTGAGCTGTGGGAAGCGGAGATCAGCTGAGCCCCTCCTGCTCCTGTGGGCCAGCGGGCACGGGCTCCAGCTGTGTCCCCACCCCGAGTTCCAACCCCAGAATATCTCTGTGCCTCTCTGCAAAGTAAGGGTCCCTGGATCCCCCAAGAGGACGGTGGGGCGCCGCTCGGGCTCCAGCAGGCACGGCCAGTGAGGCTGCCATCGGCTCTCCTCACAGGTGAGCGACGTTGGCCTCGATCCTTCTGCCACTGCCCTGGCCACCACAGTGGCACCGAACTAAGAAAGCACAGTCATTAGCTGGGCTTAGCAGTGCCCGCATCATCCCAGAGCTCAGGAGGCTGAGGCAGGAGGATCTCAGCGAGGTCAAGGCCACTCTGGGCTGTGTAGCAAGACCCTGTCTCACAAGCAAACACACAGTCCTTCTTGTCACACAGATGTCGGTGTGGCCACCAGCAGGAGCAGGAGTACATCCCCAGCGTCCAGCAGGGCCACGAGGTGTGTCCTAACCCTCCTGTCCATCCGTCCATCCATCCACCTATCCATCCATCCACAGGAGCTGTGGGCCAAATACCAGCCGGGAGACTCGGGGGTCGGTTGGTTTCCCTTCCTCTCTCAGTCAAGTGGGGAGGAGGTGGAAGCCACTGCTGGCCCTCAGGAGAGGCTGGTGAGTGAGTCATCCTTCCGCAGGAAGTCCTGGGGCCGGCAGGTGACAGCGGCACTGGTGTGATGCCAAGCCCTGGTCCACTCCCTCCCCTCCCGTCCCAAGGAGGTGGTGCCCTGTGGTCCTCCTGGTAGGGAGCTCCCACATGCATGAGGATCCTGGGAGGGGTCAAGCGGGAACCTGAACCACAGAGCTGCTTCCTCCCCCAACACACAGAAAAACCACGCAAGGGCCCTGGTGACCCACGTCTGTCATCCCAGCATGCAGGAGGCTGAGGCAGGAGGATCTCTGTGAGTTTGAGGTGGGCCTGGGCTCCATAGGGAGTTCTAAGCCAGCCTGGGCTGAGTGTAAGACCCTGCCTCGAACAAACAGGCTGCGCAGAAACCCGACTGGTGAGCTCACCGGCCTTTCCTGTTTCAGCCTCCCGCCCACCAAGGAAGAGGAAGAAGAGGAGGAGCGCGCCGTCCTGCCGGCTGCCCTGGCTCAGTTATCACAGTGCTGATGCTGTGTGCTCCAAAGGTACAGTACTGTGATAACTGAAGGATGGCAGCCACCTCGCGGCCACGCGCCCGGAGCCCACAAGGGAGGAGGGCCGACGAAGACTGCTGTGGAGGGGGCCTGCACCCTGAAACCCAAGCACCCTCCTGGCCTGAGACAGGGTTGTTCCAGGGCTTGGCCTTGGTTTGTTTCTCACCGTGCAGTTCACGCTGGGCTAGAACTCATGATGGAGCCTGGCTGGCCTCGGAGCGGGGTGACCCTCCTGCCTCAGCCTCCCCAATGCTGGAGTTGAACCAGCCCTGTGCCGTCTTGTTTTGTAACATGTCCAAGGTGGTTCATTGGCAGTGTGAAGGTGACAGTGCCAGGCTAACACTGGAGGACCAGGAAGCCTCGGGTGTTCAGGGGTCAACATAGGGAGGTACAAGTGTGCGTAAGGGGGCTGGGTGTGGTGGTGCACACCTGTGATTCCAGCACTCGGGAGGCTGAAGAAGCAGGGTCGCTGTGAGTGTGAGGCCAGCCCGGACTACAAAGTGATCACAAGGGCAGCGTGGGCTAAAAAGCCAGACTGCAGCTCACAGTGAGAATTAGGCTTCCGGAAGTGTGTGCTGCAGTGAAAGTGTGCACCATGAGCTGTACACACCTGCACTTGTCCCTGTGCTCCCAGCTCCCCCGGTGTAGCGAGGAGAAAAGCCTCTGCAGTGACCGGTGATGATATCTCAGGGTTAAATTCGTCTCCGGGAGCGGCTGTCCTGTCCCCCGAGATGGTTACAGTCAGTCTGATTCCAAAGGTGTTTACTGCTACTGCTGCTGCTGTCCCTTTTATGTGAAAATAAAGTGTAAAATTGTTCTTGTCACTAAAGAAGAACCACCCTGGTGGTGCACACTCATAATCTCAGCACTTGGGAGGCTGAGGCAGGAGGATCGCTGTGAGTTCTAGGTCAGCCCAGGCTGCATACCTAGACTCTATCTCAAAACAACAAAAAACAACCCACACTCAGTGGGTCCTGTCCTTCTCCAGCCTGGGTCTTGGGTCCCTCACCAGAACCCACACATGAATGCAGGGCCTGGGCTCAGGTAAGTGGGAATGGGTAGAGGGGACCTCGCTCTCCCCTGCAGCACCTCCTCTTGGTGGATCGAGCTCCAAAGCCGTGACACAGGCTGCGGGTGTTCACATGCCTGTGCTCATGCCTGGCCCAGGGCAGCCCAGGCATCCCCTGAGCACAAACAGGTGAGCAAGGTGTGACACAGGAAGGTGGTAGAGTATTACTCAGCCATGAAAAAGTGGCAGTTCCTCAGAGCAGCATGGTGAGCCTCTCAGGTGCCCTGTGGATAAAAGAACCCAGACTCAGCGAGGACCCATGTGTCCCCACCGGAGCCTCCAGAGCCCCTCAGGCAGCATGGGTGGCCTTGGACACCAGGTGGGCGGGAATCAGGGTCACGTGGGCCCAGACTTTGGTTGGGGGATGATGGGTACCTGGAGGTGGGTGGCGAAGCTTGTCCAGTGGTGGGAAGGGACTCAGATGCTGCAGATTTTATGCCTGTTTCACCACAATTCAAACACCTTGTGGGCCGGTGGCACTGCCACTTGTCACTTCTGCTCGCTTTCCAGGTGGCTGCTTCCCCAGGTGAGGGCAGCACCATGGCCTCCCTGGCCGTCGCTGTGGTCAGTGCTGTCACCTTCCAGTCTGTGACCCTAGATTCACACACTGCAGGGCTTGTGGGGCCATAAATGTCAACATAGCAGGACCAGAGACTTAAGAGCGGCGGGAAAAGCCTGCCGGAGATCAGAACCTGGAGTCCCCTGCAGGCTCTGCCCCTGGAAGTGACCCTGGGCAACTCCCTGACCACCACCCTAGAGCTGAGGGAGGATGCAGTCCCATGCACAAATCCATCTTGTCTACCTGACCAAGGTGGGAGGCCAGGTCCTCCTGTGGGAGATGCACTGTCAGTCTGGACAGCAACCGTGGGATTTGTTAAGTTTTGGAGACAGGGCCTCACTGTGTTGTCCAGGCTGGCATATGGCTCCCAGACACCCTCCTGCCTCAGCCTTGGAGTGCTGAGACCACAGCTTCTTGGAGCAGCTGGCCACCGTAATGGCCACACTGAGTGAACCTGTTCCTTCTGCCTCATTGCTTGGCGAGACTGCAAGCTTGGGATGTTTCTGCCCATTGGGTAGCTGATTTTTTTTCCCCTAAAGGTTTCTTTAAAAACCATCCTGCCACCATGCCTGCCAGCACTCAGGAGGCTGAGACAGGAGGGTCCCTGTGAGTTTGCAGTCAGCCCAAACTATATAGCAAGACCCTGCCTCAAAAACAGGGGAAAGAAACCAGTGTCCTTCGCCACAGACTTGGCCTCTTCAATCTGGGTTCAGGCCAAGCAAACTGGTCAGGAGCGTCTTTCACAAACCGGACCTAGCTCCACAGCAGCCCTGACCCATGGATTGTACCAGGTCACACCACAGAGGTGGCCGGCCATCTTCCTCTCCAGTTTCGGCCTCACTGCCGCCTGCTTCACAGATCTGCACTGCATTCACCCGGCCTCGGTCCCCGGCTCAGAGCCCTGCAGCCGGGCTCACTGAGCTACATGCATGTGTTCAGTGCGGGGGATTCCTCTCACTGGAATGGAGGACACAGCTGATGGGTGGGTTTGGGTTTTTTTGTGTGTATGAGACCGCCTCACTATGCAGTCCAAGCTGACCTCGAACTCACTGTGTAGCCCAGACTGGCCCCAAACTCCTGGCCATCCTCCTGTCTCAGCCTCCCAAGTGCTGGGGTTATAGGTATGTGCCTCCACCCCAGGCCAGCTGATGTGTGGTGCATGCAGGCTGCTATGGTACTTTGATCTCTGGTGGGGCAATGAGAAATGAGGTGCTGAAAAGTGAAGAGGAGCCAGACCTGGTGTGGCCCTGTCATCCAGTTACTTGGGAGGCTGAGACAGGAGAATCTCTGGAATTCAGGAGTTTAGGGCCAGCCTGGGAAATACAGACCATGACTTTAAAAAATAAAGTCCTCAGTGGGTCCAGTTAGTATTCGTGGTCATTTCCAGCTACTGTCCTTGAAAGTCAAATTACAAAATCACTTCACAACCTGTCACTTGGAGCTTCTCTTTGCACTTTGAAACGAGGACCTGGGTCAGTCAGGCCGCTGTGGGAGGAACCTTGCACCTCCCCCAGTCCTCCCGGGACTGAAGAGCTGGGCCACTGTGGGCTCCAGGTAACAGGCTTTCAGCCACGGTGGTTCAGGCTCAGGTCTTGAGGGAAGACTCGAGTTTGCAAGTTCAGCTGGGCATGGCAGCACATGCTAGCAATCCTAGCATTTGAGAGGCTGAGGCAGGAGGATCACCACAAGTTAAGGGCAGCCTGGGCTGCAGGGTGAGACCCTGTGTGAAAAAAAACAAACCATAAATAGTCCCTACTTTCCGTGGCCCAGCTTCCCAGATGTCATCTGGGCTGCATTGGTGCCTTGGTCCCCACAGGAGAGATGGACAGAGGTCACCGCCCATCTCACTGGCCCTTAGTGCAAATCCCACTCCTGGGCCCAGAAGCTAAGACGAGGGGTGGGTGCCTGCCTTCATGGGAAGAGGAGAGTGACCAAGAGGCCAGGGCATGGGCACCGATGCTTTTTGTCTTAGTTACTTTTCTCTCCTTGCTGAGACAAAATTCCCAAAGCCTCTCCTGTGCAGCTGCCCTGTCCGACATTGTCCACCCTAACACGGAAGTCACATTGCCAGTACAGGGCCAAGGGGCCCAGGGCAGCTGCTGGTGTCAGAGAAGGAAACTCAGAGGTCGTTTACTCGGCTGCTTTTCAGGTTGTGGCTCAGGTCATTTAAGCGTGCTTGCCGGGTATGATGGTACATGCCTGTCATCCCAGCACAGAGAGGCTGAGGCAGGATCGCTGCAAGTTCCAGGCTAATGTAGACTCCATAGTGAAACTTGACTCTAGTGAGACCCTGTCACACACACACACACACACACACACACACACACACAAAAAAAAAAAAAAAAAAAAAAAAAAAAAACCCAGAAAAAATTTTTTAAGCAATGGCAAAGTTTAATTGAAAGTCACAGTGAAGTGTAAGAGAGACAAGCAGAGTGAGCTCGGGCTGAGTCAGGGGAAAGCAGGGTGAGGGCGACCACAGGCCACAGGCAGGCTGTGGCAGAGGAAGCCAGGGCAGCCGAATGTAACACGTCCTAAAAACCCTTGCTCTCATTTTGCCCAGATGACCACCCGGTTCTCACCACCCCGGCATCCCCTCCCTGCCAAGCAAGGACCTGCAGGGAAGTGCGCTCCAGGGCCTCAGCGGGGCGGCCAGAACCTCTGGGTGAGCACATTCGGAGCAAAGGCCGGATGGCAAGGTTTGTGGCTGTGCGTCCTAGTAACTTTTTAAAATCGGAACATTTCCCATTTTCTGATCACAGCTCGAGGTCTGCTGCCATGTGTGTCTGAGCAACTCTGGACCAGGAACTGGGCCGCAGCAGCCTGGCCGTTTGTGTCACCTCCTCAACTGTGGAGCTGGGGAACAGACCATGGATCACAGATCTGGGGCCCAGGGTGACGCAGTCACCTGTCCACAGCAGTCGGGGTGGGGCAGGGATGAGTGCCCGGCCGCTGTGTCCTGTTGGGCTTCTCCCTCCACACCATTCTGAGGAGCAACAGTGTTGCTGGGTGGGGGTTAGTGAGTGAATACTATGTGCCAGTCTGGCATGTGATGGGCAGGAAAGGGGTACAGTGGCTCGTGTTCTGCTCCTCTCAGGTCCACCTTCATAGCTGAGTGGCAGCAGAGACCCGGGCTTCGGCCCACTACCTCTACCTTGAGCCCCGAAGTTTTGAGTACAGACTTAAAAACTCTTGTAGCAATGTGATGGAGTAATTCTTTTTTTAGTCTTTTTGAGACAGGGTCTCGCTATACGGTTCAGGCTGGCCTTGAGCTTACTTTGTAGCCCAGGCTGGTCTCAAACTCACAATAATCCTCCTGCCTCAGCCTCCGGAGTGCTGGGATTACAGGCATGAGCCACTACACCCAGCAGACAGAGTAATTTTATGTCTGTCGAATGTGATAATAAAAATACTGGCTTCAATTTGTTTCTCTCAAAAATGTCCTGAACTTTTTAATTGTATTTTTGTAGACAGACTGAAAACAAGAACAGGCTGATCTTTCACCGTGGGTCACATGAGAAACCCTGGCAGGGATGCAGCTGAGCCCACATCCGCGCCCCTCAATGTCTGTTAGTGCTGGTCCGGTGCTGAGGGGTCACAGCTGTCCCTGAAAGGGGCAGATTGCTAGACCTGGCCCCTGCAGCAACAGAGGGGTGACTGCGTCCTCCACAGTACTTGGAGGACCTCCAAGCCTGGCCGAGAGTCCCTGGTGTTGGGGCTGCTGGCACCAGTGAACACCCAAAGCCCTGTTTACTCTGGAATTTGCAAGAGTGGGTGGGGCGAGATGAACTGGGGTTTTCCCCTCGGGACTATAGGGGGTCTTTCCTGACACAGAGGCCCCTGTGAGAGAGTCCAGTGGCAAACAGAGGAAATCCTCCTCTCCCAGCTTCCCAGTCTGCGTGGCCAGGGAGGAGACAGAGATGCTGGGCCAGGTGTGCTGGCAAGGGGCAGGGCTGTCTGGGTGACCTGCTGGCTCCCTGCAGGAGAGCCCTCTTGGGGCACCTCACCCATTGGTCTCTGGCAGGTTGCTGGAATCTTCTGGAATTCCCAGGACCTCAGCCAAGGAGTCGGAGGCCGAGCGCAGCAGAGCATTAATGAGTTGAGTGTTTCCTTATGTTGTCCTGGTTTGTCCTCCCATTGAGTGAGCTCGTCCAACTCCTTGCACCATGTGACCGTGGAATGCACCCTCCAGAGAAATACGGCCTTGTTTTTCATTCTGAGCACAATGGAAAGATTTGAAAATTGTACCGATGATGCTAATAATAAGAGCTAGCCGTGCATGCTGTGTGACTGCTTCACCTGGCCCTGTATTTATAGATGTTGTTTTCTGTTTTGTTTTTGTGGTGCTGGGGTCAGATCTATGGCCTTGTGTATGCTGAACTACATCCAAACCCCTGCACGTTTGTCCACCTTTTTGTTTTTTAAGAGATAAGGTCCTAGTGTATTACCCAGGTTGGCCCCAAACTCCTGGGCTTCGTGATCTTACTGCCTGAGCCTTCTGAGGCCCCTAGCTATGTATGTGTCATGGTGGTCAGCTATTTATTATTGCTGGTCAAATGAGAGGGAAACTAATCAAAAACAAGGTCACTCGTCCTGCCATGGCTCAGCTCCAGCAGGCGCCTGTGTGTATTTGGTTATTAGGAGGTGGTGGTGCTGGGGATTGAATCCAAGACCTTCATGCTGCACTAGATCTCCAAACCACTTATTTTTTTGTTTGAGACAGGGCATAACTAAGTTTCCCAGCCTGACCTCAAACTATCTGTGATCCTCCTGCCTCAGCCTCCTGAGTGCTCAGAGTACAGGGGTGCACCACCATGTCCAATGAGACCCACGCTCTTAAAAAGAATAAGAACATACTGAGTTGATGGCCAGCTTGAACTGCATAACAAGAACACCAGAAATTTAAAAAAAGAACCAAAGTTTGCATTTCAAAATAGAATCAGTCTGTAATATTTTGAAATTCACTTTTGTTCACTGGAGAATTATCCAAGCTGTGGTACAGGTTTTATCGTTATTATCTAAAGCCCAGGCATTAAAATGTAATTCTTACTTAATCTGAGCTTTAAATCTTCACTGTTTGTGTATTCACTTGGTGATTCTGGTCTGTACCCGGGGCTGCGCAAGGCACAGCTCTGGCCAATTGCTGGTGTGCAGGCCTCCTCTCACCTCAGTGTGGACCTCGGTGCAGTACCAGAGCTGCTGTTCTGCTCCATCCCAACGGAGGCTGCGTCCCCATCCCGGGACCACTTCCAGCACCAGCAGTTGCTGGCTCAGGGTTGCAGTGGGCTCAGTCCGAGGTCGGCTGCTCTGAGTCCAGAGATGCACTGTGCAAAGGCCCTGCGGAGGCACAGCAGCCGGGAATCAGCGAGAGGAGGAGGAGGTGCGTACCCCACCCCAGGAGCACCCTGAGTGGAGAAGAGCTCTAATGGCCAGCAAGGTAGAGCACTTGAGTCCCTGAGGGAGGCACAGGAAATGGTCCCTGGGAGGCAGCGCCCCGGTTTTCCAGTGTGGACATTGAGAAGGGTGCATCAGGGCGCAAGGGAATTCACTGCATTAAGGCAGCATTAGTGGGGGCCCCACCTCGGAAAAGCGTCTCTCCCCTGTGGCTGGCATGGTGACACAGCAGGATGACAAATGTCTCATTGTTCCCCCTGGTGCCTTAATATTCAGAGGATGTCTGCTGCCACGTGCTTCTCTGTCCCCTGGTCACCTGGTCACCTCTAACTTCAGGTCACTGCTGTTTCCTAATGCTGTCTTAGGTCATTGGCTCAGGTTCGTGCTGGGTGTGCTGGTGCTCAGGAGGATCACAAGTTCAAGACCAGCCTAGGCGAAGCTTAGCGACATAATGAGAACTTGTCTCAAAATCTAAAATTTAAAGAGGAGGGGCTGGGGACATGGGTCAGTGTGAAGGCCCTGAGTCCAAACCCCAGTACCAAAGACAAAGCTAATTGTAAGCTGAAGTGAGATTTTCTTCCAAGGTCTGTGACGTGTGCTTACAGACCACAATGGCCTTGTTGAAGTTTGAATGAAGCCTATGCAGTGTGTGTGGAAGAGGCGGGAAGTCCAGATGGGCGTGGGCACCCACGGCTGCTTCCTGGTCACTGACCCTTAGCTCTAGTTTTCAAGGCTGAGCATTTCTGTTAGGCCTTATTTCAGGAAATACAGAATGCAAATTGATTTTTTTTTTTTTTTCTTTTTGAGATAGGGTCTCCCTATGCAGTTCAGGCTGGCATTGAGCTCACTTTGTAGCCCAGGCTCGTCTCAAACTTGCTACGAACCTCCTGCCTCAGCCTCCCAGGTGCTGGGATTACAGGCGTGCACCACCACGCCCAGCTGACTTTTTTCCCACTTTTTGCCTTTTCTGATTATATTGAGATGGTCACCTGCTTTTCCTTGCATCTGTTTAGATGTCAGATTACTTTGACTCCATTTTGAATATTCAACCAATGTTACATTCTTAGGATAACTTTAGTGGTTATATATAACATCCTTTCATGTCCCTAGGCTTGATTTGCTAACCTTCTGTTTCATATTTCATAGTTTATATTGATAGGTCAAATTAACCCGTAATTACATTTTGTTCTTCTGTCCGAGAGGAATTTAAACATCATATGATGAGCTTGTGAGTTCTTCTCTGTTTATGTTTTTATGTGCCACTAGAATATTCTGCTTATTAAAATAATAGTAGAATTACTTTAAAACCTTCGAGCTGTGGTGTTTTCTCTGTGGTGTTTCCAGGAATTATTCAACCTATGTATACCTCGGTCATAGTACTACTTTACATTTAGTATCACTTCATGACTTGCTATTTTTCCCTAGGCAACTAGCCTGTTAACAGGCTTTCTCACACACTTCGGTGTTGGACCTTATTACGGATTCTTTTTTCATTTGGTACCAGGAGTTGAACTCAGGACCTTCCACTTGCCGAGCAGACACTGGGCCTCTGAGCTGTGTCCCCGGCCCTGGACACTTACCTTCTGAAGTCTACGACTTCTGGAATAATTCACCCCTTCACTGTTCGGATTGGTGTTTGTGCGTTCTCTTCCTCTCCTTTCTCTTTCATACATCTCGAGATTCAAATAAGCTCTACTGATTTTTATTTACTGATAAGCTCTACCGATTATTATCTGAGTGTTCTCAAAGAACCAAATGTTCACTTTCTTGGGCTTGTCATATGCTGTCTAATTTCATTCATATCTTTCCCTTCTTACTTATTTTATTCTGAGTTTTTCCTGTTTGTTTTGTTGTCTGTTTCTAATATCCGGAGATGAAGTCGACTTTTTTTTCTTTTCTGAAATAATATTTAGGCTATAAATAAACCCTCTACGCACTTTTTTGCACTTTTGAGCTATATGCTAAAAGTTTTTAATATACAGGGTTTTTTATTACTCAGTTCACAATTTTTTAAATTTTAAAATTTTAATCAGCATGTATAAATAGGACACATTTTTAGGACTCACAGTGCATTTTTACATGTCTGTTGTAGTCAGGAAAAGGATTTAACATAGGATACATCATTTACAGGATTATTTTATCGTATTCACCCAGGGTCAAATGCAAAAGAGTGCAGGAGATCTGTCCACCCACTAGAGACCCAGAGAATCCAGCCAAGGGCTTGGATCCCACAGCAATGTCCTGCATGAGACCAGCTGAAGACCCAGAGCCCATGACAGTGCCTCTCATGAGTCCAGCTGGAGGCCTGGAGCCCACGATAATGATTCATGCAAGTCTGTTTTACGATTCTGCACTGGGAAGGATCCAAGGTCAGTGATACAAACTAGAGAGTGTGTGCCAGCAGGTGATCTGTGCCAGCAGGCTGGGGGTCTGCACTGGAGCCAGGAAGTGGTGCTCAAGGTGAGGCCCGGAGCTCTCTCAAAGAGACCCACAGCCGTCCTCAGTAATGGTGAGGACCCAGTCTCCAACCACAGTGGGGGCAGCCGAGTTAACATGAGGAGGCCAGAATGCCGAGCTCCTCCAGGGGCACCACCAGCACCCTCTTCCCCACCTGCTCTGCTTTTCTGCTGCTGGCTACAATCCTCAGGGGGCCTTCCGTACCCAGCACCACGCTGACTCAGTTCTGCTGGGTGTTGCAGGGTGACCACCAGTTAATCCACCACAATGTGCTTATTTCTAACATTATTTCTCCTTTGATCCATGATTTATTTGGAAGCTAATCCAAGCTAAATCCCCAGCTGTTTTTAATATATAAGCCATCTAGTTTGAGTTTAACTTAATATGAGTCCATCTCTGCAATGATCTCTGCAAACTTTAGAATATTTTTCTGATGTTTTTGAATCTAATATGCCATCTCAATTAGGTTAATTTTATTAATCATCCATTTTTAAAATCTTCTCAATCTTCTCATTTTATCAATTAAATATATAGTTAAAACTATATAAGATATATTTTTGAAATGTCCATGTAATTGTTAATTTTTTTATTCTTCCCTATAACACTTCTGATTTTGCCTTGTGTAATATGAGACCACCTTACTGGGACGTACACATTTTACACTGTGGTGCCTACAGTATAGTTTAGTGGCAAAGCATTGGCATAGCATACTTGAGAACATAGGTTTGTTCCTGGCACCAATAAACTTACAATTTGTAAGGTAGACTACATTTACATTGTTACAAAATGATTTTCTATACTTTAGTAATCTTTTAATATAGAATAAGCCAGGTATGATGGTGCATATTTATAATCCCAGACTCCGAGGAGGCTGAGGCAGGAGACTTGAAATTTTGAGCCCAGCTCCAGTAACTTAGCAAGACCTTGCCTCAAAATAAGGGCTGGGGGTATAACTTAGTGGTAGAGAATTGTCCAGCATGCCCCAGGCCCTGGGTTCTATCAGTAACACCCACATGCACGCACTCACATGCATGCCCACCCGAAGTTACAATTCTAGGGGTTTTTTTGTACCAAAAACTCAGAACCTTGTGCTTGCCAGGCAGGCACTCTGCCATTGAGCTAAATCCCCGGCCCTATTATACCTATTAAGTGTAAAGTTCAGTCACCACGAGTCTTTCATTGCCTCACATGCAAACTGAAATGTGAAAACAAGCACCCTGCCCCTTTCCCCAGCCTCTGGCCAACTCCAACCTGCTTTCTGTCTCAGTTCATCTCTTCACAGTCCTCAGAACCAGGAGAAAAGCAACTAAGAATTATCAAACACTCTAGATCCAACCACCTCTGAAAACGCCCACTTCTATGGCTGCTTGAGGCTTTGGGGGGAGGTCTAGACATGGCTATAGCATTCCCGCTGGGTCCCCAATGATCCATGCACATTCTTCATGCAGAGGCATTTAGTCCATCTCTAAGAGTTGTCCAAGGCCTCACAGTTCCAGCATTGCTGAAAAGCCCAAGTCCAAAGTCTCCTCTGAGCTGTAAGGCAAATTCTTAACTGTGAGCCTCTGTGCAAACAAGAAGAAAGTTAAACACTTCTAATATACCATGGCAGAAGATAGATGTTTCCATTCCAAAAGTTACTAACAGGGGGCTACAAGCAAATGGGATGAAAGTGAGACCAGAACCCAGCAGGGCAAACGTTAAATCCTGCAGCTCCACATCCAGCATCATTGGCAACCTAAAGCAAGATGTGAGCTCCAAAGGGCTTGGGTGGCTCCACCCCAGGGCACTTCCATGGTTGTAGCTCCCATGGTTTCCTCTTGGACCTTTTCTGCTCCCTCCTTACAGTTTTTTCTCAGACAATCCACATTCCTGGCTTCTCCATATTTGTGGGGTCTCCACTGCACCTCTGGCTTCACGTACTGCCCTCTCAGGGGCATAGTGCCTGGCTTCCCAGGCCTTCTTTTGAAATCCGGGTGGAAGTTTTTTAAGCCCCCAACTCTTGCATCTTGCATGTGCCTAAAACCAGCACCACATGGATGATCTCAAAGTCTGCTGCAGTAGCTGGAGCAGGAGCCAGGCTTCCTTCTCTTTTGGCTGCAGGGATCAAGTGCCTGGATTGCTGGGCACTGATTCCAGTCCTGAGGCCACTTCCCTAGGCCACGGCCATTCTGGAACAATGTGTTCTGGGGCTTTCTTCCCAAGGCGGAGCCTTTCTGCTTTACAACACTGAGGCTGCGAGGGCTGCGAGGGAGTCCTGCTGGTTCTTGTGATGTCTTCGGGCCATTTTTTCTGTCATCTTCTCCTGAAATACTTGGTTTTCCTTGCTAGTCTGTTCAGCAACCAATTTCTCCTCTGTTCTGTCTTTGCAGGGTGTAACTTTACTGGAGCTCCCTTGCTGGCCAAACTCACCATGTTTTGAAACATCTTGGTGGGATCTTCACTCTTCAGTCTCAAGCTAGATTTGGCTAAAAGCAGCCATGCCACCACTCAACATCCGACTGCCTGGAAATTTCTTCTGCAAGATCAATTAGTCTGCCACCCTTAATCTCAGTCTCAGGCAAAGTCTCTGCACAGAAGCAGAATGCATACAAACTTTCTGCCAAGCCACAACACACATAGTTTGGAGTCTAAGAGCCAGAGCAATACTTCTTCCCAGTGGAAACCTCCAGAGCCTGGTCTTTCCTGCCAGGATTTCTCTCAGCCTTCTGGTCTTCTGAGCTCTAGGCAGTGTCTCCTATCAAGTACAGTCTAAGGCATCCCAGCCCTACTTTTTCATCTTTCCGGACTCTTTTTCTTCCCACCAGCCAGTTCCAAAGGCTCCTGAACCACACGGTCAGGCATAGCCACAGCAACAACCCAAATTCTGTCTTAGTTACTTTTCTCTGCAGGCCAAGACAAAGTAGCTGATACCCAAAGCCAAAGGGGAAAAGAGCATTTAGCTCACAGTTTGTAGAGGTTTTACTCTATCATTGGCTGGCTTCTAAGACAGGGTGGCACAGCAGAGGAGAAACAATTCATGGTGGGCAAAAGTCAGCAAAGCAAGGCACAAGACAAGCCTCTTCCTGTCCCTTGCGTCATGTGCAGGTTGCGGGATTAGGGTGGTGCTAACCCAGCCCGTGGACTGACTCAGTAATCCCTCACCCTGAACCCCAGCACTGCACCAGGAATCAACTGCACACTCTAGATCCAGCCACCTCCAAAAGAGACCCACTGGTGACCAAAGGAGGCTTTGGGGGGACATTGAGACACAGCCACAACTCTTGTGAGTGCAAGTTGACCATCTGTGCTCGGAGTTCTGGCCTTGTGAGGGCTCCCAAGGGGCCCCGGGTAGTCCTGGTCACCAGCAGCCCCACCCTGCTGCGTGACCACACCACGTGGTCACCTGCTGGGCACCAGGCTTGCTCCGGCCTTGGCTCTGAAGTCACACAGCTCTGTGAGACCTGCTTTCCACTCGAGGCCACAGGGCAATGGCTCATTTAGCTCCCTGAGGAACTGCCTGACAGCAGTCAAAGTATCTCTGTCCTGAGGCTTGTTTCAAAATGTTTTATTAATGTAAGAATGTTCACTGTTTTTTATCATATCTCTGGTGTATGTCAGTTTCCATTTTTAACTTTCAGCCTATTTAAATACATACTTTTTTATCCAGCCTGAAAATCTTTGTCTTGTCTCCATCTGTCTTTTGAGACAGGGACTCACTATGTAGCCCAGGTTGGCCTTGACTCACAGCGATGCTCCTGCCTCAGCCTCCTGGGTACTAGAATGACAGCCATGTACCACCACACTCAGCAAAACCTTTATGCCTTAATTGAAACTTGAAATGCATGTTTTAATTTGTGTTAACAATCATTTCAGACCTCTGCCCCTCTTTGCTCTCTCCGTTTCTTTTCTCTCATTTTGGGTTATTTCACCATTCTCCTTTTCTCCTTCAGTGGCGTCGAGCATGGATGCTCTGTGCACATCCCCCTGAGACCTTGGCCTGGAAATCAGGCCCCTCATGAGTTGGTGACGTCATTCCTGGGTGGGGGCTGCCGGGCGCTGCACATGCTCCCTAGTGCGGTCTTTTCTAACGCAGTGCTCGGACTCTTTGTATCCCACTCTCTCTCCCATCTTTTAAGACATCGTTGGTGCTGCCTCAGGCCAACGTTGTGTGGTCTCTTGTTGGCCACGCTCTGCATTTCACTCTGTCTCACACCTCAGGGCTTTTCTAAGGTCACGATGTTTCTTCAGGGATGGTATCTTTCTCTTTTTTGAAAAAAAAAAAATCACAGAACTTGATTAAAAGACACGCAATGCCCGAGTCAAGCAACATACATCACTGTTGTGAGGAAACTCTCTTCCTCCTTCATTAAGCCCTGGGATTGACCTCAGGGCCTTTGCACTGAACAGCAGTCATTATAAAACAGGCTCGCTAAGCCACTACATTGCTCAGGCTGGGCTCAGTCTTTCAGTCCTCCTGCCTCAACCTCCCAAGTGCTGAGATCACAGGCATGCACCGACACACCTGCTTCCGTTTGAGGCATCCTTGTATATGCGGGTCACATATTGTGGTCACATCTACCCCTTCAGCCTTCTGCAACCCTACCCTGCCCTCCCTCTCACAGAAGAATGAACTCCCTTTTATGATGGTCCAGGAGCAGTGTCTTTCTTTCGGCTGCTTCTCTATGCACGTCTAGGCCCAGGCTTATCCCTGAGAGAACTTCCATCAGGAAGATGATGGTAGGCTAGCAGCCACCTCCCACACCCCGTGGAGGATGTCACCACACTGTCATTTTGTCACTGCAGAGAACAGACACACAGGCCAGCAAGGGCTCTGCCACAGAGCCACACACCTGGCCCATCCCACCACTATGTGCCTGCTTGGAAATGCACGGCTGTGATCCCAGCACTCACGAGGCTGAGGCAGGAGGATGGCTGTGAGTTCAAAGCCATCCTGGGCTGCAAAGTGAATTCAAGGCCAGCCTGACCTGCATAGCAAGACCCTATCTGAAAAAGGCAAAAAAAAAAAAAATATATATATATATATGTGTATATATAGATACACACACATATATATCTTAGTTTGGACATCAGAAACTGATTTTTAACTCTTTTAAAACCTGTTTTATTAATTGAACTTTCCACATACCACCTTCAAGACAGTGGACACTTTAGGCTAAATGAAGATGCTACCAAATGCATGAAAATGTGAAAGAGAACACAATAATAAATCCCTTATATAGGCAAGTATCTATACACATGTACGGACATATGTGTAAAAATATGTGTATTTGTTAGCTACTCTTGTGTTAGCAAATTATTCTGATACTGAGCTCAAAACAACAAACACTTATTAGCGCACAGCCTGGGCACGGTGAATTTGGAAGGGCTTAGGGCTTGGAAGGTACAGTCCAGAGTGTTGCTGAGCCAAGGCCTGGCTGAGCTGAACCAGGAAACTCCAGCCTCCTGGTGGCAGGAGCCCAGGCCGCCTGCTGGCTGCAGGCCTCAGTGAGGGGCTCAGGACTCGACCAGTGGCCCCCTTCATAGCAAGTAGAGACACATGCACAGACAGACAGCCGGCATAGGGACATGCCTACTTTCCAAAGTCACAGGCTGCCACCTTTGTTTCACTGAAATGGCTAGCAACCCAGCAGATTCTCCAGGGAGGGGAACTAGGCACTGTGTCTGGAAGTGAACGTCAGACCACTTTCAGACATTTTAAACCACCACAGAGATCAGCACCGTCCCTTCCTGGGTGCCAAAGTGAGCAACAACCACAAAACAGGGGTTCCTTGCCCAGGGAACCCAGAGCCTAGGGAAGCCCGAGAGTGAACATGGGCTTCCAAGGCCTGATTTCCGGTGAGTAAGGTGGGAACAGCAGGTGTGTGGGTCTGCATGCCAGGGGCTTTGGCAGGAGCGGTTTGTCAAAGGGGTGATCAGGAGCCGAGGTTTTGAACCCGAATCCCAAGCTGGTGGTGCTTGGCAGTGAGGCCATGGGCCAGGGTCTCCCTTCCTCTGTGCCTCAGTTTCCCACTCAGGACAATGGCAGGACGACAGGGGCCACCTCCTGGGCAAGCAGAGCTGTGCGGACACAGCTGGCATTTGTGTCATCAGAAACAGCGGGCATGTTGTTCCGGTCTGGGCCAAGAGGCGGGCTTTCCCAGCCTCGCTGGGAGTGAGGTCAGCGTTTTTCTAAAGTGATTTTCAGTGCTGTGTCTGTCCTGTTCTTTCTCGCCTGCACCCTGCTGTAAACTGTGGGTGTCCTCCCGCCCAATGCCCCGCCCACTCCTCCATCCACTTCCTTCCTCCCAGGAAACCTCTTGAGCAGTTTCACAATGTTCTTTTCAGAACTGTCTGCCTCTGTTTATTTTTATGTATTGATTCATTTTTTGTGTCAAGGTCTCGACAGGGAGCCCAAACTGGTCTTGAACTCTCTATGCAGCCCAGATCCCCTTGCCTCAGCCTTCCCGTGCTGGGATGACAGGTGTGCGCCACCACACCTGGCTAGATGATGCTCTGATTTCGGGAACAGGACATTGGACTATCAAACCGGAATCAGATTCTATCTACCTAGAATTTCAACATTTTCTAGGAACTAGTAGTATTCACCTCCCCGCCCCAGATACCATCGGCAGAGAAGACAGCAGAGTTAGAAAACCACCGCACCTTAGGGTTTGCTGGTTGATCTAAAAGTGAGACTCTCGGAACTCGGTCTGCTTGTCACTGGGAACCCAGCTCTTTCTGGGGTAAGAATTCAGGCCAGGACTGTGACATTACTGTCACTGCATTCACATCACTGTGGATCGTTATTACTGACAATGCAGAAGCACCGGTTTAGGATGCGATTATTTAGCATTGTTCGGAGCCTCACGTGTGCTAGTTTGACAGGAGTGACTACTAAAATAAAACTTTGGTAGAGCCGGTCAACCTCCAACTGTCAAAGCCAGCAAGCTCTCTCTCGGCCATCTGTGAGTGGACGGAGGGAAACGGAGGAGTCGGGGAGGGAGCACCCTGCCATCACAGACCACCCTGTCCTTTCTGAGAGACATGTACAGGTCTACCCTAAAGCAGCACGAAGCCACAGTCAGGTCCAGAGGCGCCCAATCCTCAGGAGGAACCCCAAAAGGAGAACCCATCCCTCCATACGAGAGTAGCACTGCTGTTTTATACACTTCCCCCACCTCCTTTGGCTGTTCTGTGTGGTGAGGAAGTGTTCTTTATTGCCAGGTTGGTGGCCCATGCCTGCAATCTCAGGACTCAGAAGGGTGCGAGTTCGAGGCCAGCCTGGGTTACAGAGTGAGTTGGAGGCCAGCCTGAACTGCATAGAGAGACCCTATCTCAAGAAAAAATGTGTTGATCATTACTTCAATTATTTTATTCATGCGACCGAAGAAATCCTCCTGAAAGAATTCTATCATTTTCTCAGGGGAAGCGCAGCAGACTAATTGTTTTGCAGTCACAAATAACACTCAACGCAACTTACCTATAAAAATTTCTTAAAACAATCATCTGTGACACATTAGTAGAAATAGTAGAAATTTCAATAGAATTGCTCCATTTTAACAAGATTCACATACAAATTGGTTCTTAGTAATATGAAGAATGGAAATTAAGGTTTTTAAAATTGTCTATACTTAATTTAAAAGAAATTTACTTTTTGCAATAAAATGTGGTAGTAAAACAAAAGCATTCTTAACAATAAATGATCTTGTTGACTAAAAAATAGTGCTCCTAATTTGTGTAAATAATTAAAATGCCCGACTAATACCGTGCTTGGACACTGCAGAACTGAGTCCCCATTGGGGTTGGATCACAATTTTTCCTTTGGGTCACGCGCGTCTGTTTCGGAGGCCCAGGCAGGCTAGGCCCAGGGCTCGCAAGGGTTTCCCAGCCTCCCCACAGTGACAAGGACAGGACTTCTATCCCTTGGGGCAGCTGCCCCAGAGCCCACCGGTGGCAGGGCAAGGACCAGAACTCCGGGTTCTGGTTGCAAATTGTAAGCTCAGCAGGGATCGGGGACCCCTCGGAGTTGCCGCCCAGGCTCGCCTTCTGCACCCCGGGGCAAGGCGGGGGCTTTCCCAGGGCTCGGGTCCTCCCTGCCAAGGGACCGCCCCGCCGTGCTTCCCGACGGCCACGCGGACAGCGGCAGCGGGTGCGGGGGAGGGGGGAATCCGGGTGGGGGATGGGCAGGGTAGGGGAGGAGAGTGGGAAGGGAAACCTGGTGGGGGAAGCCGGGGGAGGGAAACCTGGGGGTGTCGGGGAAGGCCGGGGAGGCCCTAGAGCAGGGGAGCCCCGGGCTGGGAAGAGAGAAGGGAGGGTTAGGGGAGGGGCTTCCCGGGCCCCGCCCCCCCGCGCGTTGCAGCTGCGGGAAACCCCAGGACCCGGACCCGGCCGGGAACCGAGGTCGCCTGGAAACTGGGGGATGGGCGCTGGCCGGAAGTGGGACGTGACCGTCAGCTGAACCGTGGGCGAAGCTCGGGCCACGAGGGCGAGGCGTGTCGGCTACGCGCCGGACGCTCGTAGGTCGGGTGCTCGAGGACACGGCCGCGCGTGGGCTGTGACCAGCGTCTGCGACTGCGCGGGGCCAAGGTGCGCAATAGCGAGAGCGCGCGCCACGCGGGACGGAGGAACCGGTCCGCGTGTGGACTCCGGCGCGCTCCCGCCCTGGGCGGGGCTTCGCGCGTCTCGGTCGCCGCCCCCGGTCGCGTCACGCGGCTCCGTCCTGCGGGCTCGTGCGGGCTGCCTCCTCCCCG